TCTAGGATGTCTCTAGGGGTCCCTGTTGGTGGTACACTGGACCCAATGATCAGTACAAAGTAGCTTAGTGTGTGGTTCCATCTCCAGGGGTTCCTGAAATGGTCAAAACAATAAACGAAGGATGGGAGTGTCTCAGGTGTATACAAAGTTCAGTAAAATATTTTATATCTTGACAACAGGTCACAGGATAAAGCCAACAGGTTTCGGGGCTCACAGCTCCCTTCATCAGGGCCTGAAAGGTGGCAATAATTGGTACAAATGTGTAGTACATAAAAGCAGCTCTCTGGCTACTCGGGTGTCTCTAGGGGTCCGTGTTGGTGGTACATGGACCCAATGATCAGTACAAAGTAGCTTAATGTGTGGTTCCAAAAGGCATCTACAGGGGTTCCTGAAATGGTCAAAACAATAAAAGAAGGATGGGAATGTCTCAGGTATACAGTGAGGAACAGAAGTATTTGAACCCCCTGCGATTTTGCAAGTTCTCCCACTTCTCCATCATGGAGGGTCTGACATTCACATTGCAGGGGATTCCCACTCTGAGGACAGAATTCAGGAGATCCCATTGTATGATTTGTAAAGAATGTATTTGTCTCGCACGGCTGAACAGAAGTATTTGAACCCCTGAGAAACAGCAAGAATTCTGCCTCTCAAAGACCTGTTACTGCGCCTTTACAAAGTCCCCCTCTACTCCACTCATTCATCTCACTTAGTAGCACCTGTCTGAGCTCTTTAAAGACACCTGTCCACCCCACAGTCAGTCAGACGCCAACTACTACCATGGGCAAGACCAAAGAGCTGTCAAAAGACACCAGAGACAAAATTGTGGACCTCCACAAGGCTGGAAAGGGCTACGGGGCAATTGCCAAGCAGCTTGGTGAAAATAGATCAACTGTTGGAGCAATTGTTAGAAAATGGAAGAGGCTAAAGATGACTGTCAGTCTCCCTCGGACTGGGGCTCCATGCAAGATGTCACCTCGTGGGGTATCACTGATGAGAAGAAAGGTGAGGAATCAGCCCAGAACTACAAGGGAGGAGCTGGTCAATGACATGAAGAGAGCTGGGGCCACAGTTTCACAGGTCACTGTCGGAGGAACACTACGCCGTCATGGTTTCCAATCATGCATTGTTCGGAAGGTTCCCCTGCTCCAGTCATCACATGTCCAGGCCCGTCTGAAGGTTCCCCTGCTCCAGTCATCACATGTCCAGGCCCGTCTGAAGGTTCCCCTGCTCCAGTCATCACATGTCCAGGCCCGTCTGAAGGTTGCCAATGACCATCTGGATGATCCAGAGGAGGCATGGGAGAAAGTCATGTGGTCAGAGGAGACCAAAGGAGAACTTTTTGGTCTAAACTTCACTCGTCGTGTTTGGAGGAAAAAGCAGGATGAGTTGCATCCCAAGAACACCATCCCTACTGTGAAGCATGGGGGTGGTAACATCATGCTTTGGGGGTGCTTTTCTGCGAAGGGGACAGGATGACTGCACTGTATTAAGGAGAAGATGAATGGGGCCATTTATTGTGTGATTTTGAGCAACAACCTCCTTCCCTCAGTCAGAGCATTGAAGATGGGTCGTGGCTGGGTCTTCCAACATGACAAAGACCCGAAGCACACAGCCAGGAGAACCAAGGAGTGGCTCCGTAAGAAGCATATCAAGGTTCTGGAGTGGCCTAGCCAGTCTCCAGACCTAAATCCAATAGAACATCTTTGGAGGGAGCTGAAACTCCGTGTTGCTCAGCGACAGCCCCGAAACCTGACAGATCTAGAGGAGATCGGTGTGGAGGAGTCGGCCAAAATCCCTGTTGCAGTGCAAACCTGGCCAAGGACTACAGGAAACCTCTGACCTCTGTAATTGCAGACAAAGGTTTCTGTACCAAATATTAACACGGATCTTCTCAGGGGTTCAAATACTTCTGTTCAGCCGTGCGAGAGAAATACATTCTTTACAAATCATACAATGTGATCTCCTGAATTCTGTCCTCAGAGTGGGAATCCCCTACAATGTGAATGTCAGACCCTCCATGATGGAGAAGTGGGAGAACTTGCAGAATCACAGGGGGTTGAAATACTTCTGTTCCTCACTGTATACAAAGTCCAGTAAAATATTTTATATCTTGATAACAGGTCATAGGATGAAGCCGACAGGTTTCAGGGCTCACAGCTCCCTTTATCAGGCCTTGAAAGGTGGCAATAATTGGTAGAAATTTGTAGTACTTAAAGGCAGCTCTCTGTCTACTGGGGTGTCTCTAGGGGTCCGTGTTCGTGATCCGCTGGACCCAATGATCAGTGCAAACTAGCTTAATGTGTGGTTCCAAAAGGCAGCTCCAGGGGGCCCTGAAATGGTCACAACAATAAACGAAGGATGGGAGTGTCTCAAGGATTTACAAAGTCCAGTAAAATATTTTATATCTTGATAACAGGTCACAGGATAAAGCCGACAGGTTTCGGGGCTCACAGCTCCCTGCATCAGGGCTTGAAAGGTGGCAATAATTGGTACAAATTTGTAGTACTTAAAGGCAGCTCTCTGGCTACTCGGGTGTCTCTAGGGGTCCGTGTTGGTGGTACACTGGACCCAAAAACCAGTACGAACTAGCTTAATGTGTGGTTCCATCTCCAGGGGTTCCTGAAATGGTCAAAACAATAACCAAAGGATGGGAGTGTCTCAGGTACATACAAAGTCCAGTAAAATATTTTATATCTTGATAACAGGTCACAGGATAAAGCCGACAGGTTTCGGGGCTCACAGCTCCCTTCATCAGGGCTTGAAATCCTGGAGATGATTGATACAAATTTGAGTACTTAAAAGGCAGCTCTCTGTCTACTGGGGTATCTCTAGGGGTCCGTGTTGGTGATCCACTGGACCCAAAGATCAGTACAAAGTATCTTAATGTGTGGTTCCAAATGGCATCTACAGGGGGTCTTGAAATGGTCAAAACAATAAACGAAGGATGGGAGTGTCTCAAGGACTTACAAAGTCCAGTAAAATATTTTATATCTTGATAACAGGTCGCAGGATAAAGCCGACAGGTTTCGGGGCTCACAGCTCCCTTCATCAGGGCTGAAAAGATGGCAACAATTGGTACAACTTTGTAGTACTTAAAGGCAGCTCTCCGTCTACTGGGGTATCTCTAGGGGTCCGTGTTGGTGATCCACTGGACCCAATCAGTATAAACTAGCTTAATGTGTGGTTCCAAAAGGCAGCTCCAGGGGGCCCTGAAATGGTCAAAACAATAAATGAAGGATGGGAGTGTCTCAGGCATATATGAAGCCCACTAAGAAAATTTGACTTGATCTCCAATGAATTTCGGGGGCTCACAACTCCCTTCATCAGGGCTCAAGTGCTGGCAGTCATTGGATATATAGTGGTCTCCTGTCTGGATAATACCCCCGAAAGTTCAGACATCTCAAATTAGGTCTCCCTACCTTCTCCACTACCCCCCCCCCCCCCCCCACCCCTCCTCCCCCCCCCAGAAATAGTCACTTTCCACCTCCCCCACGTAGGACAGATAAATGACTCCGGTATGTCTAAGGCTCCTGTGGTGTTTGTAGCTGTATGGTTATACTCAGTAACACTCTATATAGCTATGAAATTATAGACCTATGAAACGTATAGATAGATTTTGCTTTCTTTGACCCTCCTCTTCCCCTCCCACACAAGCAGCAAAAGGCAATACTGTACAATATTACAAGGAACTACAGACAGAGCAGAGACAGACAGACGAGATTGACGGCAATGTTGTCCATTGGTCGCACAGTGATGTCTCCGATCTCATCATTTTGGAGCTACGGTTCTCTAAGGACGATTAGTTCAAACACAGGAGTTATTGTAACAGTCATCTTCCTGACAGTCTGGTATGTATTTAGTAGACGGTCCCATTTTCTCTGGAGTGTCCGAGAACAGACATGACCAATCACATAGCAGCATGTCGAGATAAAACCTCTTTGGGCCTGAAGTAAGGTTCATTGCAAAGGAATTGCACCAATGCACAGCACCAAATGAGTTCATAGAAAATAAAAAGACTTCTGTTGTCTTCATCTGTTTCAGAAATAGGACTGAGATGCTGTGAATGGCAACAAGTGAAGAGCATCCCTCTAAGAAATGGAGGTCCTCAACCATCTCTCTAAGAAATGGAGGTCCTCAACCATCCCTCTAAAAGAAATGGAGGTCTTCAACCATCCCTCTAAGAAATGGAGGTCTTCAACCATCCCTCTAAGAAATGGAGGTCTTCAACCATCCCTCTAAGAAATGGAGGTCTTCAACCATCCCTCTAAGAAATGGAGGTCTTCAACCATCCCTCTAAGAAATGGAGGCCTTCAACAATCCCTCTAAAAAATGGAGGTCTTCAACCATCCCTCTAAGAAATGGAGGCCTTCAACCATCCCTCTAAGAAATGGAGGCCTTCAACCATCCCTCTAAGAAATGGAGGTCTTCAACCATCCCTCTAAGAAATGGAGGTCTTCAACCATCCCTCTAAGAAATGGAGGTCTTCAACCATCTCTCTAAGAAATGGAGGTCTTCAACCATCTCTCTAAGAAATGGAGGTCTTCAACCATCCCTCTAAGAAACGGAGGTCTTCAACCATCCCTCTAAAAATGGAGGTTTTCAACCCTAACTCTAAGAAATGGATGTGTTCAACCATAACTCTAGGAAATGGATGTGTTCAACCATAACTCTAAGAAATGGATGTGTTCAACCATAACTCTAGGAAATGGATGTCTTCAACCATAATTTGAGGAAACGGTTTTCAACCATCCCTGTGAGAAAAGGAGATCATCAGCCATCCCTCTGAGAAATGGTCCTCAACTATTCCTCCAAGAAATGGATGTCCTCAATCTTTACTCCAAGAAATGGATGTCCTCAACCATCCCTCCAAGAAATGGATGTCCTCAACCATCCAACCAATCCCTGTTTTAGAATATGGACTGGCTCAGGATATGACCCTGCTGTAAATGTTTCAATAGCCATCCTGGTTAATACTGATTCAACAGAAGGTGGTGAAGGCTTCATGTTCCCATGGCATTGCGGTTCACAATGAAGCACTTGGCATTGGGCAGCGGCCGGACGTCGTTCTGGTGACTCCGTCTCTCGATGAAGGCTGTCAGTCGCGTGGTGTCCAGGGGGATTTTGGAATAATTGCTATAGTGAGGCTGGAGCCAGGGGTGGAGCAAGCAGGTGGCCACTGTTGGCCTCCAGCGGGCATCCATCTGCAGCGTGGCCCGGATGAAGTCCTGAGCGGCTTGGCTGACGCTGGTGAAATACTCCAATGGGAAGGAGAAGTCCACCCGGCAGATGTTCATACAGGTCTCCTCGCTGCTCTCATCTAGGAATGGCGACACACCGCTCAGCATGACGTACGTCAAGACGCCCAGACTCCAGATGTCGGTGGCCAGAGAAACCGGCGTGCCTTTAATCACCTCCGGAGCAGCAAATTCTGCGTTCCCCAGCAGCTGGTGGACATAATAGTGACCGGTAATCCGCATGGCGTCTTCAAGGTCAATGATCTTCACCCGCGCCACCCGGGCACCGGAATACGGAGGTCAATCAGGAGGTTTTCAGGCTGCAGGAGAGAAAGAATGACAGAAGGTTTGATACAGAGGCTGAAATGGGACCTACTGTGTTCTAAAAGTACAGCACACATTGCTTTTACAGCAGAAAATCCCTCCAGATCCCTTGTAGATGAAACGAGACCTACTGCATTCTAAAAGCACAGGACAAATTGCTTTTTGCAGTTGCTCTTGGAATACCCCAGCCAGTAGAGGGCAGCAAGGCCACTTTGATACCTTTATTCTCTGAGAATGTATACCTATTAGATGGATACCAGCCCTCCACACGCATGCGCGGGAGCTTTGTAGAGCAGGATATCATCTCCGAGCCGGCATCTCAGTCCACGAAGTAGAAGGTAGACATGTGTAGTACATTTCATTACCAATCGAAATTTGTACAAAATTTTCATTTTTTTGGAAATTCGGATGTATCCAAATTTCCTAATTACAAAATAACGAAATAAAATTTTGGCCAAAATAATGAATCATCTGAAATGGAATTGAATCTGAAAACGAAATCGAATTCGAAAACAAATTCGAAACATATTGCTGATTTCCTTCAAAGACTGTGTGTAGTAGAATACAGCCATCTTCCAAAATTTGAATTTCAAAAAGAATAGAAGAATAAAACAGAACGGAAAAGAAAATATAAGAATAGAATAGGAAAAAAAACAGAACAGATTAGAACAGACTAGAAACGGATAGAATAAAATAGAAAAGAATACAACCGTCTTCCGAAATTCAAATTTTGCGAAAAGAATAGAATAAAACATAAAACAAAAGAATAGATTTGAATAGAATAGAATAAAATATAAAGAATATATTCGTCTCCTGAAATTTGAATGTTAAAAAGAATAGAAAAAAAAGAATAGAAAATAAAAAAATAGAATTAGGAAAAAAAATGGAACAGACTAGAAGAGAATATAAAGAATATAGCTGCCTTCTGAAATTTGAATTTCGAAAAGAATAGAATAAAACATAAAAGAATAGAAAAAATTTATAGATTTGAATAGAATAGAATAAAATATAAAGAGTATAGTCATCTCCTGAAATTTGAATTTTAAAAAGAATACAAAAAAAAAAAAAAAAAAAAGAATAGAAAATAAAGGAATAGAATGAAAAAAAAAATGTAACAGACTAAAATAGAATACAAAGAATATAGCTGCCTTCTGAACTTAGAATTTCGAAAAGAATAGAATAAAACATAAAAGAATAGAATAGAAAAAAAGAATAGATTTGAATAGAATATAAAGAATATAGTCATCTCCTGAAATTTGAATTAAAAAACAAAAAAATAAAAAAAAAAAATATATAAAGGAATAGAATGAAAAAAATGTAACAGACTAGAATAGAATAGAAGGAATATAGCTGCCTTCTGAAATTTGAATTTAAAAAAAATAGAAAAACACATAAAAGAAAAGAAAAAAAATAGATTTGAATAGAAAAAAATGGAACAGAATAGAATAAAATTTAAAGAATATAGTTGTCTTCTGAAATTCAAATTTCGAAAAGAATAGAATAAAACATAAAAAGAATAAAAAAAAAAGAATAGATCTGAATAGAATACAAAAAAATATAAAGAATATAGTTGCCTCCTGAAATGTGAATTTTGAAAAGAATAGAATAAAACATAAAATAAATTAATAGAACGGGAAAACAAGAATAGATTTAAAAATAATAGAATATAAAGAATATAGTATAGTTTTCTTCTGAAATTTGAATTTTTGAAAAGAGAAACAGAACAAACAAATCAGAATAGAACAGAAAAGAAAAAATGGAACAGATTAGAATAGAATAGAAAGAATATAGCCGCCTTTCGAAATTCGAATTTCAGGAGACAACTATATTCTTTATATTTTTTGTATTCTATTCAGATCTATTCTTTTTCTTTTATGTTTTATTCTATTCTTTTCAAAAATCGAATTTTGCTTAGGATAGACCCAAATATTCTTCACAATGAATTCGGATCGATTTGATATTTTCAATTCAAATACTTCGAATCCAGTGGAAGAATTCAAATCGGGTGGAAAAAAGGAAGCAAATTTTGTTACGAATGCGAATAAATGAAGTTAGTAATTTAACGAATTGAAAGGAAATGAAACAAATGTTTCCGTTCTGCACATGTCTAGTAGAAGGTGACTCTGGATGATGCCGGAACAAAGATGGTGCCGCCCTTCTGAAGGGAGGAGGAGCAGACGAAGTTGTCAGGAGGAGTGGTCTCTGGGGAATAAATGTCTGGAGGGAGGAGCAAGGGAAGGCGTTGTCAGGGGAGTGGCCTCGGGGGATAAATGTCTGGAGGGAGGAGCAGATGAAGTTGTCAGGGGGAGTCTCTGGGGAATAAATGTCTGGAAAGAGCAGAGGAAGGCGTGGTCAGGGGAGTGGCCTCGGGGGATAAATGTCTGGAGGGAGGAGCAGATGAAGTTGTCAGGGGGAGTCTCTGGGGAATAAATGTCTGGAAAAAGCAGAGGAAGGCGTGGTCAGGGGGAGTGGTCTCTGGGGAATGTCTGGAGGGAGGAGCAGAGAAAGGCGTGGTCAGGGGGAGTGGTCTATGGGGAATATATGTCTGGAGGGAGGAGCAGAGGAAGGCGTTGTCAGGGGGAGTGGTCTCTGGGGAATAAATGTCTGGAAAGAGCAGAGGAAGGCGTGGTCAGGGGGAGTGGTCTCTGGGGAATAAATGTCTGGAGGGAGGAGCAGAGGAAGGCGTGGTCAGGAGGAGTGGTCTCTGGGGAATAAATGTCTGGAGGGAGGAGCAGAGGAAGGCGTGTTCAGGGGGAGTGGAATAAATGTCTGCGCGGTTCTATCGCAGATCTGCTGCAATGTGATTGGATTTCGGGGTCGGTGGTTCTTCAGAAACAAGCGGGTCACCTTGAGGTCCAGGTGGGCCACGCGGCAGCCGTGCAGATACTGGAGGGCCCCCAGGATGTCCCGCATGTAGAAGGCCACCTTCTCCTCCATCAGCTCGTCGTGTTTCATCAGATAGTCCAGCAATCGGCCGTCATCCACCCTGGAAGAGATCGGAGTCATGTGATCACCGCGGCCTAGAAAAGGGCTATATGCATCCCCCCCCCCCAGAACAGAATCAGCAGAGCAATGATCTGCAGTGGATGGGGTCACCCTGGGACTCGGGGTACAAGGAGATCTGGATCTGCAGGGGATGGGGCTCACCCTGGGATTCGGGGTACAAGGAGATCTGCAGGGGATGGGGCTCACCCCGGGATTCGGGGTACAAGGAGATCCGGAACTGTAGGGGATGGGGAAACTACTGGGGACTCCTGATATTAAAGGGGACCCTACTGAGTACAACTGTTGTAAAGGAGGATGCTACTGGGGACACCAGATGTAAAGGGGGACTGTATTGGGGACCTCTGATGTAAAGGGGGACTGTATTGGGGACCCCCCGATGTGGGGACCCCCCGATGTAAAGGGAGACTGTATTGGGGACTGTAAAGGGGGACTGTACTGGGGTCCTCTGATGTAAAGGGGGACTGTATTGAGGACACCTAATGTAAAGGGGGACAGTATTGAGGACCTCTGATGTAAAGGGGGACTGTATTGGGGACACCTAATGTAAAGGGGGAAGGTATTGGGGACTAATGTAAAGGGGGACTGTATTGGGGACAACTAATGTAAAGGGGGACTGTATTGGGGACAACTGATGTAAAGGGGGACTGTATTGGGGACTCCTGATGTAAAGGGGGACTGTATTGGGGACTCCTGATGTAAAGGGGGACTATATTGAGGACACCTAATGTAAAGGGGGACAGTATTGAGGACCTCTGATGTAAAGGGGGACTGTATTGGGGACACCTGATGTAAAGGGGGACTGTATTGGGACACCTAATGTAAAGGGGGACTGTATTGAGGACTCCTGATGTAAAGGGGGACTGTATTGGGGACTCCTAATGTAAAGGGGGACTGTATTGGGGACTCCTGATGTAAAGGGGGACTGTATTGGGGACTTCTGATGTAAAGGGGACTGTATTGGGGACTCCTGATGTAAAAGGGGGACTGTATTGGGGACTCCTGATGTAAAAGGGGACTGTATTGGGGGACACATTCATTGACTCTGATGTCAGGGAGCGGAGATCAGAGCGGCATGCGCAGCGACTCACAGGTCCAGGACGAGGATGTAGGCGTTGGGCGACTCGTAGGTGTCATGGAGGGCGAGGTACTGCGGGTGTTGGAGGTGTTGGAGGAGCGCCGCCTCGTGAGCCGCCTGTTCGCGCTTTTTCAGCTTCTTGTTAACGAATTTCACGGCGACGTCCTTCCGCGTGTTCCTCTGCACACACTTCTTCACCACCGCGAACCGACCCCTGAGGGGGGGGGGAGGGGCCAAGAGGGCGATTACAAAGATGTATTGATTGAAAACATGACAGCGATCAAAAACAATCAATCAACTAAAAACAATCATTTCATCGATTTTATGACGATTGGTTCGCCAACGTGATCCATCGATTCATCGATCAGAAGCCATCGACATAATTCCCCCGCAGCTGATCGACTTCCTAGAGTCAAAGAGCTCGCTAACTCCATTAAATGGAAGGTGAAGGTTTATGATTCTAATGCCGGCCACAGATGGGTGGAAAATCGGCTGATTTTCACAGTGTTAGTGGGTTAATTGGTCGGACCGTTTTTCAGGGTTTTGGCACTTTTTTTTTTAATCGGTAAAGTTGGAAAATTTGTGGCCGATTTTGACCGATCGGCCGATTTTCCCGGCAATGATGAGCAAATCAGCCGATCATTTTCACCGATACAAAACCTGCGTATGAGCCGTGACCTGGAGGAAGAAGAATTCCAGTCCGCTGTTATATTTGACATGAAAGTCTTGCGGTTGCAACAATGTATCCATTTGTATCCGAATAAAACCATCTGTATCCGAAATGGATACAAATGGATACATTGTTGCAACCGCAAGACTTTCCTGTAAAATATAATAGCAGAGCTCTCTGCAGGGACAGAAGTAAAGATGCCGGCCGTAGATGGAACAAAAATCGGCCGATTTTTTTACCGTTGGTAGTAACATCAGCCGATTGAACAACCGATTTTCGTCCTGTCTATGGCCTTCATTACTCAATTCGATCGTTTCTGGCACATCACGGCATCATGGCATGTGGTCGTCTTATCAGACTCTGCTCATGGCTGTAATCTGATTGAATCTATGAATTGGGGGTTGTTGTGCGGTCAGTCGTTGTGCGGTCAGTCGTTGTGCGGCCATTCCTTGTGCGGCCATTGCAGTCAGTCGTCGTTGTGCGGTCAGTCGTTGTGCGGTCATTCGTTGTGCGGCCATTCGTTGTGCGGCCATTGCAGTCAGTCGTTGTGCGGAGTCAGTCGTGCGGTCAGTCGTTGTGCGGCCATTGCAGTCAGTCGTTGGCGGTCAGTCGTGCGGTCAGTCGTTGTGCGGCCATTGCGGTCAGTCGTTGTGCGGTCAGTCGTTGTGCGGCCATTCGTCGTGCGGCCATTCGTCGTGCGGCCATCCGTCGTGCGGTCAGTCGTCGTGCGGTCATCTGTCGTGCGGTCATCTGCCGTGCGGTCAGTCGTCGTGCGGTCATCCATCGTGCGGTCAGTCGTTGTGCGGTCATCCGTCGTGCGGTCAGTCGTCGTGTGGATGTGACAATCACCCGCGCAATCATGAGGAAATTTTCCGTACTGCCTCCCTTATCTGTGGTTCCTACATTCTCAGCGCCATCTAGTGGCCACAGAGGGGTTTTTTCCCAATTGAGGAAAAGAAAAACCCCTTTATGGCCACTAGGAGGCGCTGATGATATAGAAACTACACATAAGAGAAATCACAGGAATTTTCATCCCTGATTGTTCGGATGTTTGTGGGACCCTCAGAGTGAGAATACAGAGACCCCCGTACTGTTTTATCAATTGGATTAGAGAAAAAACAGCCAATTTCATTGAAATTATTCTGATTGGCCTAAAAGGAAAAATCCAATTGTAGGAAAGATTGACATTACTATTACGTGTATGGTGCATCAAACCTGGGCGGAGCACCTGTGTGAGATCACCTGGGCGGAGCACCTGTGTGAGATCACCTGGGCGGAGCACCTGTGTGAGATCACCTGGGCGGAGCACCTGTGTGGAAATCACCTGGGCGGAGCACCTGTGGGAAATCACCTGGGCGGAGCACCTGTGGGAAATCACCTGGGCGGAGCTCCTGTGGGAAATCACCTGGGCGGAGCACCTGTGGGAAATCACCTGGGCGGAGCACCTGTGGGAAATCACCTGGGCGGAGCACCTGTGGGAAATCACCTGGGCGGAGCACCTGTGGGAAATCACCTGGGCGGAGCACCTTGTGGAGATCACCTGGGCGGAGCACCTGTGGGAAATCACCTGGGCGGAGCACCTGTGGGAAATCACCTGGGCGGAGCACCTGTGGGAAATCACCTGGGCGGAGCACCTGTGGGAAATCACCTAGGTGGAGCACCTCTAAGAATGATCCCGCCCCCACCTCCAAAGCTGGGTGTCCTGACTTTTCTCTCCTTCAGTTGTAGTACCACAGCCTGGTCAGCCCCGCCTGTGATTGGACAGATGAGTCCCTCACCCTGCTCTCTCCTCCTGCCAGCACGTTCCTTGTCAGCACATGTACACAGCGCACATCTGATTGGCACCTAGAAAAGCCCCTCCCTTTCCCAGTCTCTGGGCTGCAGCAGATCACAAGCTCCAACTCAGGAACATAAATGACATCTAATGTGACTACACAATGCATCATTTGGTGCTGATCTGCCCGGAGTTCTGCTTTATGGTAAAAAACATTCAATAAAATTTGAGCTTATCGGAATCCTCGTTTATTCAGAATCACGGCGTGTGTGACGTACCGTCCAATCTCCTGCTGCTCCACGTACATCTGGTCAAAGTTCTCCTTCCAGCATATGGTGGAGCCATCGGTATTGGCGTCTGTGGAGGAAGAAGAGGAGAGGTGACAGGGACGGAACGGACGGGGGGGGGGGGGAGAGAGAGATGGGAGGGAGAGAGAGATGGGAGGGGGAGAGAGAGAAAGAAGCACCCTGACCACAACTAATAATACAGACGAGAGCGCACAATGAGGAAGCTGAAGATCGGCAGTTTCAGTTTTTATTACATAACTTATATAAGACGCAGTGATGTCATCACTGGGTCTCTGTACTTCTCTGTGCATTGCAGGCAGATCATGGCAGGTGAGAGGGGCCAGCAACATACTGTACATAGCTCCTCTCCAGAGCCCTCAGTCTTGCTTTAGGAAGGAGTTATGCATACAGTATATCACAATGCCTTGATGGGTGGGTGTCGGTCTGGAGGAGTGGGCGTTCCTAGGCAGGCTGTATTTGCATAGGTAACACCCACATGTGATGCTGAGCTGCCATGATTTAAAAAACTGAAATCCAAAGAATGAAAGGGGCGGAGCCAGGGACAGTCAGGCTGGGGAGGAAAAAGTTAGATGATGCTGGACATCCTCCAGCCAGGAAATGGGGCGGAGCTCTATCCGACTTACTGCAGCTTGTAATGCACATTGTGAGACACTCACAGTGTGCGGTGACGAGGAGCGGACTGACCATTTGGAAATTCAGGCACTGCCCGAGGGCCCGGGGTCAGTAGGGGGCCCCATGAGATGCCCCTGGTACCTTTCATAGGCTTTTTTGAGTTTGGGTAAGGACACGGGGGCCCCATGATCCCCTATTGCCCGGGGGCCCCATGAGTTGTCGGTCCGCCCCTGGCGGTGACATCAGAGAAAGACTCAGTCACTTTCCTCCTCCAGCTCCATTCTGGATTTCACATTATATTACATCTGAACCCAAACCTTTCAGTTTTCTCTGTGGAGTGAAGAGCTCCAATCACCATCTATGGGAATCGATCTCTGCAGTTGTATGGAGGTGACGGCGCTCGGCCGGACGGCCAATTCCCTCCCCTCTTATGGAGGTTGGAATCCTGGAGTTGCAGGATTCTGTCGGGGTGCCATCTACTGGACATTCCGCTGCACTGCAGCACAACCACGCTCAGTGCTCACCACTGACCCCTGCTGGACTTTCTCCAGCACTGCACCCCACTGCAGGTTCTTACAGCTGAGCTCATTAGCCATCTATAAAGTGAGCTCAGAGCTCCATGCCGGTGTCCGTGGACAGGTTCTGTCTGTTTGCACCACTCTGAACATGACGGCCGATACCCAGACTGCCTGCCACTTCCTGCTAGGATGAGGTCTTTAAAAAGCCAATGTGACCTCCCCCCCATAAGCTGCGAACTGCTTCAGCGGCATAGGTTGCAGGTCCTGTCCTTGTGCCAACTTTGAAGTGCCCAAATGGGCCACCTCTTCTGCCCACCCATTTACCGCCACTCAAATATCTGCCTTCCTGCTTGACGGCTGTCACCGCCAGACCTTCGTTGGGTTTCGCGTTGGCGGTTTACCCTCTGCACCATCAGCAGCCGCGGTGAAGAGTTAAAAAAAAAGATAATAGGTCCAAGTCAATTGGTTCGGTGATCACACCCCCCCCCCCCAAAACGATATAAAACACCAACGAGAAAAGGGAGAGGTGGGATTTGTACCGATATCTTCCCTCAGAACAGATCAGACAAATAAGTAAGACCATACACAGTCTATAGGACGGGAACATAATAGTGATGGGGCCGAACACACACCCCCCCCCCCCGTTAGGATCGCGGTCGAATATTCGTCCCTACCGAACGTTTGACCGCGAACTTCGAAAAGAGGGGACAATTCACCAAGAGGTGTCTGACGGCATCCGAGTGATAAGATACCGATATCGCACAGATACTAGACACATTCTTCATTGTTTCAGCTGTCAGTGGGGTTCCCCCCCCATCCAACGGTGTGGGGTTCCCCGCTGACAGCTGAATGTAAAAAGATTTGCCAGCAATTACATTTTTTTGTACTAAAATGCCTAGGGCCCCCCCCCCCCATCCATACCAAGCTCTTCGGGTCTGGTATGGATTTTGAGGGGACCCCCCCCCCCCCCCGGCACAATGTAAAAAAAAATTTGGGTTCCCCCCCAAAATCCATACCAGCCCCTTATCCGAGCATGCAGCCCGACAGGTCAGGAAGGGGGGGGATGAGTGCGCACTCCCCCTCTTGATCCATACCAGGCTACATACCCTCAACAAATGGGGGACTGATGATTTGGGGCGGGGGGGGGGCTCCCCATGTTGATAACAAGGGCCTCTGGCTGGTGGTTGTGGGGGCCTGTAGGCAAGGGGGGTTCGCCAACTCCAACACTGTGCCCCCAACCCCCCCAACCCCCCGGGGGGATTCACGCTCTCCGGGTGCTCATTGCCACTGATCCAGAAAATAATGGAAGATCTGACAGGTAAGTTGTCACTTGAACAGGAGGTGAAGGGAATGTCTAAGGGGGGATTTCCTCAAATTCTGGGGGGGGGGGGGGGTTGCCTCTCACTTCATGACGTAAACTCGATCCAACTCCCAGAATTAGAAGAAAAAAGTTTTGGCTCCAGATATACCTTAAAGTGTATGTTGCTTTTCCCAATTTTCGGATGAAAGGACCTTAATATCTCCTTCAGAGAAGTCTACCTGGTGATCCACAGGAGCCCTCATGGACCCGGACCCCCATAGGGCTGCTCTCAGACTGGAGTATTGGTTGGAGGGACCCGGACCCCCATAGGGCTGCTCTCAGACTGGAGTATTGGTCGGAGGGACCCGGACGGACCCCCATAGGGCTGCTCTCAGACTGGAGTATTTGTCGGATGGACCCGGACCCCCATAGGGCTGATATCAGACAATCCCCGCTGCTCTCAGGCTGGAGTATTTGTCGGAGGGACCTTGACCCCCATAGGGCTGCTCTCAGACTGGAGTATTGGTCGGAGGGACCCGGACCCCCATAGGGCTGCTCTCAGACTGGAGTATTTGGTCGGAGGGACCCGGACCCCCATAGGGCTGCTCTCAGACTGGAGTATTGGTCGGAGGGACCTTGACCCCCATAGGGCTGCTCTCAGACTGGAGTATTGGTCGGAGGGACCCGGACCCCCATAGGGCTGCTCTCAGAACTGGAGTATTGGTCGGAGGGACCTTGACCCCCATAGGGCTGCTCTCAGACTGGAGTATTTGTCGGATGGACCCGGACCCCCATAGGGCTGATATCAGACAATCCCCGCTGCTCTCAGGCTGGAGTATTTGTCGGAGGGACCTTGACCCCCATAGGGCTGCTCTCAGACTGGAGTATTGGTCGGAGGGACCCGGACCCCCATAGGGCTGCTCTCAGACTGGAGTATTGGTCGGAGGGACCCGGACCCCCATAGGGCTGCTCTCAGACTGGAGTATTGGTCGGAGGGACCTTGACCCCCATAGGGCTGCTCTCTCAGACTGGAGTATTGGTCGGAGGGACCCGGACCCCCATAGGGCTGCTCTCAGACTGGAGTATTGGTCGGAGGGACCTTGACCCCCATAGGGCTGCTCTCAGACTGGAGTATTGGTCGGAGGGACCCGGACCCCCATAGGGCTGCTCTCAGACTGGAGTATTGGTCGGAGGGACCCGGACCCCCATCAGGGACCCAATCCCCATAGCTCTCAGACTGGAGTATTTGTCAGATGGACCCGGACCCCCATAGGGCTGCTCTCAGACTGGAGTATTTGTCAGATGGACCCGGACCCCCATAGGGCTGCTCTCAGACTGGAGTATTGGTCGGATGGACTCGGACCCCCATAGGGCTGCTCTCAGAGTATTGGTCGGAGGGACCCGGACCCAGAAGCTGGATTTCTACCTTTACAATGTAGGTGGAATACGGAGGAAATGTTCTGGTTCTTCCTCTGCTGCTCAGAAATAAAATGGCGAATGCCTTGGGTGGGGGAACCTCGGTGGTCCGGGTATCTAACACTGAGCGCACCGGTAATAGAAGAATGAAGGGGTCCCAGCTTACCATTCTCAGGCAGCCGAAGGGGTTCCGATGGCTCGCTGGGCAGACTGATGCCCCAGGGGTTGCTGGCGCTGACTCTGAACTGGTAAGTACCTCCAGGCCTCAGGTCCTCCAGTACAAGGTAGGTATCCAGTGTACAGGCCACTGACTGCTGCCAGATCTGGGAGCCTGCGGGAGAGACGGCGCATGTGACACCAAAGAAAGGGGTGTAAGGAAGGGGTCTTCATATGAGGGTCCACCAGCTGCATCGGCTGCAAGACTTTATCCAACCCATAGGCCGGTCAGTGACCTCAGTGTGCACAGTGTGAGAAACAGACGCTGTCTTTAGTTCCTGCTTCAAACCCCCCCTGTTTCCAACATAGGGTCCCCCAGCTTTATTGTCATCATCACCATCAGCAGGGGGGACCCTGATGCAAGGGAGGACTCCGAAGCGGGATCTAGATGCAAGGGGGGCCTCTGAAGGGGGACCCTGATGGGGACCTTGTTGCAAGGGGGGACTCCAAGGGGGACCCTAATTCAAGGGGGACTCTGATGTAAGGGGGGACTCAAACTCTGAGGGGGACCCTGATGCAAAGGGGGACTCTGAGGGGGACCCTGACAAAAGAGGGGCTCTGAGGTGGACCCCAATGTAAGGGGAGCTCTGAGGGGGGCCCTGATGTAAGGGGGGTCGTCTCAGGGGGACCCTGATATAAAAGGGGAGTCTGAGGGGTACTATGACAAAAGTGGGGTTCTGAGGGGGCCTTAATGTAAGGGGGGGGGCTCTGATGTGAGAGGGCAGGGGGGCTCTGAGGGGGACCCTGATGGAAAATGGTGGGGGTACTGTGATGGGGAACGCGGATGTATGGAGGACTCTGATGGGGACCCCGATGTAATGAGGACTCTGATGGGGACCCCGATGTAATGAGGACTCTGATGGGGACCCCGATGTAATGAGGACTCTGATGGGGACCCCGATGTAAGGAGGACTCTTATGGGGACCCCGATTTAAGGAGGACTCTTATGGGGACCCCGATTAAGGAGGACTCTGATGGGGACCCCGATTAAGGAGGACTCTGATGGGGACCCCGATTAAGGAGGACTCTGATGGGGACCCCGATTAAGGGAGGACTCTGATGGGGACCCCGATTAAGGAGGACTCTGATGGGGACCCCGATTAAGGAGGACTCTGATGGGGGGACCCCGATTAAGGAGGACTCTGATGGGGACCCCGATTAAGGAGGACTCTGATGGGGAACCCGATTAAGGAGGACTCTGATGGGGACCCCGATTAAGGAGGACTCTGATGGGGACCCCGATTAAGGAGGACTCTGATGGGGACCCCGATTAAGGAGGACTCTGATGGGGACCCCGATTAAGGAGGACTCTGATGGGGACCCCGATTAAGGAGGACTCTGATGGGGACCCCGATTAAGGAGGACTCTGATGGGGACCCCGATTAAGGAGGACTCTGATGGGGACCCGATTAAGGAGGACTCTGATGGGGACCCCGATTAAGGAGGACTCTGATGGGGAACCTGATGTAAGGAGGAGTCTGATGGGGACCCTGATGTAAGGAGGGCTCTGATGGGGAACCTGATGTACGGAGGGCTTTGATGGGAACCCTGATGTTTTGGAGGACTCTGATGGGGATCCTGATGTACGGAGGACTCTGATGGGGATCCTGATGTACGGAGGACTCTGATGGGGACCCTGATGTACGGAGGACTCTGATGGGGACCCTGATGTACGGAGGACTCTGATGGGGACCCTGATGTACGGAGGAGTCTGATGGGGACCCTGATGTACGGAGGAGTCTGATGGGGACCCTGATGTACGGAGGAGTCTGATGGGGACCCTGATGTACGGAGGACTCTGATGGGGACCCTGATGTAAGGAGGAGTCTGGTGGGGAACCTGATGTAAGGAGGACTCTGATGGGGAACCTGATGTACAGAGGACTCTGATGGGGACCCTGATGTAAGCAGGACTCTGATGGGGACCCTGATGTACGGAGGAGTCTGATGGGGACCCTGATGTACGGAGGAGTCTGGTGGGGAACCTGATGTAAGGAGGAGTCTGATGGGGAAGCTGATGTAAGCAGGACTCTGATGGGGAAGCTGATGTAAGCAGGACTCTGATGGGGACCCTGATGTACAGAGGACTCTGATGGGGACCCTGATGTACAGAGGACTCTGATGGGGACCCTGATGTACAGAGGACTCTGGTGGGGACCCTGATGAAAGGAGGACTCTGATGGGGACCCTGATGTACAGAGGACTCTGGTGGGGACCCTGATGTATGGAGGACTCTGATGGAGACTCTGATGGGGATGCTGATGTATGGAGGACTCTGATGGGGATGCTGATGTACAGAGGACTCTGGTGGGGACCCTGATGTACGGAGGAGTCTGATGGGGACCCTGATGTACGGAGGAGTCTGGTGGGGAACCTGATGTAAGGAGGAGTCTGATGGGGAAGCTGATGTAAGCAGGACTCTGATGGGGAAGCTGATGTAAGCAGGACTCTGATGGGGACCCTGATGTACAGAGGACTCTGATGGGGACCCTGATGTACAGAGGACTCTGATGGGGACCCTGATGTACAGAGGACTCTGATGGGGACCCTGATGTACAGAGGACTCTGATGGGGACCCTGATGTACAGAGGACTCTGGTGGGGACCCTGATGTACAGAGGACTCTGGTGGGGACCCTGATGTATGGAGGACTCTGATGGAGACTCTGATGGGGATGCTGATGTATGGAGGACTCTGATGGGGATGCTGATGTACAGAGGACTCTGGTGGGGACCCTGATGAAAGGAGGACTCTGGTGGGGACCCTGATGAAAGGAGGACTCTGATGGGGACCCTGATGTACAGAGGACTCTGGTGGGGACCCTGATGTATGGAGGACTCTGATGGAGACTCTGATGGGGATGCTGATGTATGGAGGACTCTGATGGAGACTCTGATGGGGACCCTGATGTACAGAGGACTCTGGTGGGGACCCTGATGTATGACCCATGTTATAATGAATCCTTCCCATACAACACTGTGTGTAGCTGATGTCTCCTCAGTCCTTGGCATGAAGAACGTATTTGCCAAATGACATACGAATTTCCAGGGACAACTATCCACAGTCTGGGACCATCCCAGGGCCCCCTGGCAGGCCTGGAGTCGGTACCTTCATCCTTGTACTCCATGGTGTATCCGGAGATGGTGCAGTTCCCTGTACTTGATGGAGGGAGCCAGCGGAGGATGACGGAGGAGCTGCTTCTTTCCTGGGCTACCGGCTGGCTAGGGGCCCCGGGGACACCTGGAGGGACACAAGAGGTTGTCACAAAGATTCGAACGTTGGATGTCACATTAAATCTGAAAACGAGAACTTCAATGTTGTGTGCTGGTGATGGACGGCGATTTCCTGACAGCATTTCCATCCCTGAGTTCTGGAGACCCCAGACAAAGCCCTCATGGCAATACCTGGGAGCTGTGGCCCCAACCTCAGTCCTCAACTACCCACAACAGGCCATGTTTTGGGAATTTCCCTCAGAATAAATACTGGCCATGCGTGCCAAGCCATTGGTTTGTTATGAAGAAGGGTCTACTGCACCCTTGCCCTGCCAGAAAATATTCAAATATTTCATATGCCAAGATGGCCTTCAACAGTCAACACTGATTGGAGCTGACTGACCCATAGGCCCATGTGGCGGCCATTGGATATCTCCACCCACTACTTACCATGCCTGGACCGTCTGTGCTGTGTTGTCCCCGGTGCCCCTGGGTACCATGCCTAGATTATCGTGTGCTGTGTTGCCCCCTTGCCCCTGGTGCCCCCAGGTACCATGCCTGGATCTTCTGTGCTGTGTTTCCCCCTTGCCCTTGGTGCCCCCAGGTACCATGCCTGGATCTTTTGTGCGGTGTTGCCCCCTTGGCCCTGGTGGCCTCAGGTACCCTGCCTGAATCATCTGTGCTGTGCTGCACCCTTGCCCCTTGGTGCCCCAAGGTACCATGCCTGCATCATCTGTGCTGTGTTGCCCCCTTGCCCCTGGTGACCCCAGGTACCATGCCTGGATCTTCTGTGCTGTGTTGCCCCCTTGCCCCTGGTGACCCCAGGTACCATGCCTGGATCGTCTGTGCTGTGTTGCCCCCTTGCCCCGGGTGACCCCAGGTACCATGCCTGCATCATCTGTGCTGTGTTGCCCCCTTGCCCCTGGTGACCCCAGGTACCATGCCTGGATCGTCTGTGCTGTGTTGCCCCCTTGCCCCGGGTGACCCCAGGTACCATGCTTGGATCATCTGTGCTGTGTTGCCCCCTTGCCCCTGGTGCCCCCAGGTACCTTGTACTTTGATGGTGGCAGAGGTGGAGGTGCAGCCCAGCTCATTGGTTGCCACACAGGTGTAGATCCCACTGTCCTGGGGCATCAGATTACAGATCTTTAAGCGAATGTCACCGGATTCACTGTTGGGGGAGAGAAGTGTGAGCGTTATGGAGGTCAGAGGTGTCCATAGAAAAAACCATTGCCAAGAACACACATCGGGCAGAACCTCCACGAAGATCCAGACCCACCTGGCCATCATGGTGTAAGTGCTGCTGTCACCATCCAGAATATTCTGATCCGGGCCCTTCCACGTGATTGCCGGTTTGGGTCGGCCGCAGACCTTGCAGTGTAGGGTCACCGTGTCACCAACAACACAGATAATGTCTACGAGGGTCAGGAGGAACTCCGGAGCCACTGCGAAAACCATAAACATCAATCAGAACTTGGGTGGCCTACAGGAAGACTGAGATAATGTGTGAGGAGAAGCAGAGACACCGACTGGTGGTCACAGCCCCCACCGCTTATACTATGCTTTGGGTTCCCAGGAAAAGTGTGATCTGGCATCTGGATCCTAGGACCGATCTCATGGGCCACGGAGAAGATCGGTAACACCGGGCGCAGCCCACACCGGACAGCCGGCTCACTTTTATTGAAGGTCCAAAGAGCTCTTTGGATTGGAAGACACAAGAATGGAGTGCGCCACCCCCTGGATTGGAGTCCAAATATCAGGTTCATTCCACTAAAAACAGTCCCACAAGTTCCACACAAGTGGCAACGCGTTTCAGGGGTCAGGAGACACCCCCCCTTCATCAAGGCTGGATTTTCCCTGTGATCTCCCTCTGGGAACATTTTTAAATATGAATTCCAGGAATGGTAAGTTTTACACAGTTACGTTGGCCCAGCTTGGACCAATACAATACAATGTGCCAAACCTGGAAGATCGCTGTAGGTCTGGAAATCGTTGTATTAGGAGCCGCTACTGCAGTGATCACAACTAGCTTCCAGGTCCTGTCCTGAGTGACTTCTCTGCTGCTTACTGAACACAGGAGGTCACTCACTCGGCATGGGCTCCATTCAGGGAACACGTTGTATTTTTTTATGAATGCCAATCCTTCTCTGACTGGGCGAGGTGGAGAGCTGGGGCAGCGATTTCACAATTCACCTCGTCCAATCAGAAAATGATTTCATCATGAAAAAAATAATATATTCAAATACTCCTTTTTTTTTATTTTTAAATAAAAGTTATTTTGTTCTAGAAATATATATATACACACACAGTATCTCCCAGAAGTGAGTCCACCCCTCCCCCGGACTGTATACAATTATATATATATATCCAGTATCTTGCAGAAGTGAGCCCCCCTCCCCCTCACATTTGTGTCAATATTTGATTCTCTCTTGTCATGTGACAACACTGAAGAAATTACACTTTGCTACAATGTGACGTAGTCAGTGTACAGTTTGTATAACATGGAAATTTGCTGTCCCCTCTCAAAATAACTCAACACACCGCCATTAATGTCTAAACCGCCGGCAACAAAAGTGACTCCACCCCTAAGTGACAAGGTCCAAATTGGTCCCAATCAGCCATTTTCCCTCCCCGGGGTCATGGGACTCAGTGTTACAAGGTCTCAGGTGTGAATGGGGAGCGGGTGGGTTACATTCGGTGTTATCACTCTCACTGTCTCATACTGGTCACTGGAAGTTCAGCATGGCACCTCATGGCAAAGAACTATCTGAGGATCTGAAAAAAAGACTTCTTGCTCTATATAAAGATGGCCGAGGCTATAAGAAGATTGCCAAGACCCTGAAAACTGAGCTGCAGCACGGTGGCCAAGACCATACAGCGGTGTAACAGGACAGGTTCCACTCACAACAGGCCTCGCCATGGTCCACCAAAGAAGTTGAGTCCATGTGCTCAGCGTCATATCCAGAGGTTGTCTTTGTGAAATAGACGTATGAGTGCTGCCAGTATTGCTGCAAAAGGTGAAGGGGTGGGGGGGTCGGCCTGTCAGTGCTCAGACCGTACGCCGCACACTGCATCACATTGGTCTGCATGGCTGTCGTCCCAGAAGGAAGCCTCTTCTAAAGATGATGACCAAGAAATCCCGCAAATAGTTTGCTGAAGACAAGCAGACTAAGGACATGGATTACTGGAACCGTCTCCTGTGGTCTGATGACACCAACATCAACTGATTGGGTTCAGATGGTGTCAGGCGTGTGTGGCGGCAACCAGGTGAGGAGTACAAAGACAAGTGTGTCTTGCCTACAGTCAAGCATGGTGGTGGGGGTGTCACGGTCTGGGGCTGCATGGTGGTGGGAGGTGGGAGTGTCATGGTCTGGGGCTGCATGGTGATGGGAGTGTCACGGTCTGGGGCCGCATGGTGGTGGGAGTGTCATGGTCTGGGGCCGCATGGTGGTGGGAGTGTCACGGTCTGGGGCCCCATGGTGGTGGGGGGGTGTCACGGTCTGGGGCCCCATGGTGGTGGGGGTGTCACGGTCTGGGGCCCCATGGCGGTGGGGGTGGGTCATGGTCTGGGGCCCCATGGCGGTGGGGGTGTCATGGTCTGGGGCCCCATGGTGGTGGGGGTGTCATGGTCTGGGGCCCCATGGCGGTGGGGGTGTCATGGTCTGGGGCCCCATGGCGGTGGGGGTGTCATGGTCTGGGGCCCCATGGTGGTGGGGGTGTCATGGTCTGGGGCCCCATGGTGGTGGGGGTGTCATGGTCTGGGGCCCCATGGTGGTGGGAGTGTCATGGTCTGGGGCTGCATGAGTGCTGCCAGCACTGGGGGCTACAGTTCATTGAGGGAACCATGAATGCCAACATGTACTGTGACCTACTGAAGCAGAGCATGATCCCCTCCCCCCAGAGACTGGGCCGCAGGGCAGTATTCCAACATAATGACCCCAAACACACCTCCAAGACCACCACGGCCTTGCTGAAGAAGCTGAGGATGAAGGTGATGGACTGGCCAAGCGTGTCTCCAGACCTAAACCCTATTGAGCATCTGTGGGGCATCCACAAACGGAAGGTGGAGGAGCGCAAGGTCTCTGACATCCACCAGCTCCGTGATGACGTCATGGAGGAGGGAAGAGGACTCCAGTGGCCACCTGTAAAGCTCTGGTGACCTCCATACCCAAGAGGGTTAAGGCAAGTAACTGGAAAATAATGGCGGCCACACAAAATATTGACACTTTGGGCCCAATTTGGACCTTGTCACTTAGGGGTGGAGTCACTTTTGTTGCCGGCGGTTTAGACATTAATGGCGGGGTGTTGAGTTATTTTTTGAGGGGACAGCAAATCTACGTTATACAGAGCTGTACACTGACTACGCACATTGTAGCAAAGTGTCATTTCTTCAGTGTTGTCACATGGAAGGAGAGAATCAAATATTGACACAAATGTGAGGGGGGGGGGGCTCACTTCTGGGGGGATACTGTGTATATTATATATATACACACACACTATATTTACCCACCAAAAAACTAAATTTACCCACCTCCTGCCCGGCCTATAGTAAAATGACAGTTGAGTGGCACCACTGTTATTCCAGGGGGAGGTCATATGAAGCTATATGGTCAGCACTTCCACCTGGCAGTACTCGGGTCGTTGGTTCGAATCTCAACCATGGCACTACCTGCCTGGAGTTTGCATGCTCTCCCTGTGCCTGCGTGGGTTTCCTCCGGTTACTCCGGTTTCCTCCCAAAACATGCTGGGAGGTAAATCGGCTCCTGTCTAAATTTTCCCTAGTATGTGTATGTATGAATGTGAGTTAGGGACCTTAGATTGTACGCTCCTCAGGGGCGGGGACTGATGGGTGAATGTACAATATATATGTAAAGCGCTGCGTACATTGATGGGGCCATATAAGTACCTGAAATAATAATAATAATATGATATCCTCCCTAGGAGCCAATCACAGCGATCACATGTCAAAATGTACACAGTGAATGTTTTTCATTCATAGCCCTTCATTGTGTATTATTGTGATCTCTGTGATTGGTCACAGTGATCACATGGTACAGACAGGGCCAGTTGCAGTGCACCTGTACCATGCAATGGTATTCATAAAAAAGATTGCTTATAACAGTGATCATCACTTTTGTAAGCAATCATAGTTGTTAAAAAAAAATCCTGATCACCTCCCCAGAGTAGTAGTGTCACTATGGTAATACTGCACTGCTCTGGTCACCGATTGTAAAAAAAAAAGAAAAAAGAAAAATGTACCAAAAATGTTTTAAAAATGTATTAAACCTTTCTTTTTACACTTTTTTTTTTTTTTTTTTGCAATCGGATTTTTTTGTAAATTGAAGAAATTAATTTTTTTTTCTTTTTACATACTGTCACCAGAGCAGTACTGACTGTTGACCATAAGTAAAAAAAAAAAAAAAAAAAAAAAAAAAAAAAAAAAGAAAATTTATCAAAAATTTAAAAATTTTTTTATTAAACTTTTTTTTTTTCTTTTACATATTGTCAACCGCCAGTATCCCTGATCACCGCCACACCAGTCATATGATGACGCTGTACTGCTCTGGTGACAGTATATAAGAAAAAATTTGTAAATAAAGAAAACAAAATGTATTTCATTTCTTCAATTTATAAAAAAAATTGTGATAAAAAAAAAAAAAATCAGGATTGATCGATCTTCAGATGTGCTGTATATCCTATAGTTTGTAGACTTTCCTATAGACTGAATAATATACACTTTTTTTTTTTTTTTTTTTTTACCAAAAATGCAGCAGAATACATTTTGACCTAAATTTATGAAGAAATGAAGAAAATTTTTTTTTTTCAAAATTCTTTGTATATTGTTATTTATATAGAAAAAAAACCCCAAACCAGTGGTGATTCAAGCGGAGTTCAACCCAAAAGGGGAAGCGCCACTTGTCTGCCTCACCCCCTCTGCCCTCCGCTGCCCCATTGGGCACCTATTGGGGGGAGTGGTACCTGGTTTTGACAGGTAGCCACTCCCACTTCCGGCTCAATTCACCAATTCCCTGAAGACTGCGGCCCATTCACTTGTGCATGCGCAGTAGAAAAACCGGCTGTGAGGCTGCAAAGTTTCCTTTAGTCAAGATGGTGGCGCCAGCACCCAATAGCTGACACTGAAAAAATATAACATTCATGAAACCATAAAGAAAA